AAAGCTGGCCCAGAATAAAAAAAAAAAAGAAAAGAAAACAAGGAGTGGTTGGAAGCTTTAGTCACTCCCTAGCCGGAAAACAGCCCTCAGCCCCTCACCCAGACTGGCCAGGCACCCCAGTGGGGACCCCCACCCTGATCCAGGACACGCTTCAGGGCAAACCAGCTGGCCCCCACCCATGCACCAGGCCTCTATTCTATATAGTAAAAGGGTAATATGCCTCCTGACACCGGGATCAGCGGAGCAGCGAGGCTCCCAGCACCGGGATCAGCCTAAGCCAGCAGGTCGTTATCTCCCGAGGGGTCCCAGACTGTGAGAGGGCACAGGCCGGGCTGGGGGGACCTCTCCCCCGGCCCCCCGAGTGCACAAATTTTTGTGCACCGGGCCTCTAGTATTAAAATAAAAAAGTAAATGTTTAAAAATCAGGAAAAATTGGCAGTCATAACTGACAGTGGAATTTGAGACAAAGGCAAATTAGAATAACAAAATCATTTTATAATAATGATGTCATAAATAACAATACTAACATAGAAAAAATCAAGCAAAACTTTTTAGACATTCAAAAAGAAACCAACATAGACAACATATTACAATCTACTAGGCAAATATTTTTAAAGTGACAAATAAAGATATAATATATCTGATTGTTATAACTAATAAATGTATAACTATTTTTACATAAGTTGTAACCTATAAAAGAAAATATCTTTCTTAACAATTCTTAGAACATTTGTAATATTTGCCACTAACAAAGTAAATTTTAATTCAGTTTTAAAATGAAAATTGAATAAGCCACTCTTTGTGGCAAATGATAGAATAAAATTAGATGTAAAGAAAAATACAAATTTTAATCACCAGATAATTTTAAAAAAACATTCTCCCTCCAAAAATACTATTATATCAGATAGGAAAAAAAAATCACAATCATCAATACCTATTTAGAAGCAACAAAAATAATAGTCATGAAAACTTAAAAGATCCATCTAGAATTATAGTCAAAGGTTAATTCATAATGTTAAATGCTTATTTATTAAGAACTAGAGAAGGAAATTAATAAAGTATTTAATTGGCTTTATTTTAAGTCTATATAATTATCCCATGGAAAAGAGATGAAAGGAAATAATATTTAAATAGAAATAAATCATTTAGAAAATAGGACTGCAGAAAACTGATACAGAAATGTTGAAATAAATAAAATAGCAAATCTTTTGCATATAAGTCTAGATGAAAAAAATATAATACAAACCAAATAGAAAAATTGAGCTAATCTCTGATAAATGAATATTTTAAAAAAACACACCTCATAGATTTTAAATATAAAACAGAAAACATGTCCTTGCTCACATAACTTTATAGGTCATGAAACAGATTATTTTCATGCTATATAAAATATTCTAGACCATAAAAATACAAAAACCTAGCTAATTCATTTCATGAATGGGGAGATAGGCTTCACTATAAAGCCAGTTACTGGTAATTTAAGAAGTGGCACAGCAATCTTATTTAAAATTAAAGATGTAAAATTTCTAAATCAATGTTAGCCAATAAAATTTAACATTATGTGAAGACAATAATCACTATAGTTCAGACATAAAATGATGGACATTTATTAATGTAATAAATCACTGAGCAATGGATGAGAATACAGGAGCAGTCCATCACCCATAATTCCCTACATGATGGACTTAAAACTTTTCTGAGCTGGCTCAGCCTCATCAGAACCACCTGCAGTGTTCAAACTCATGTTCAAGGGGCCAGGTTTCCCATAAGCTTGCTGAAAATTCTGGAGGCCTGTACACCAAGAGCTGGTGGTGGCAGAAAAGACCTGCCCTTTAACAACATAGACCCTGACTCCTACGACTGTAAAGCTATCTGTGTTCTGACTAAGGCCAGCACTTCTGCTTGTGCCTTGATCCATGTCCTCTCTCATTTAGAAGTGTTACATTTCCTACTCTTCATTTGTATAATGTCTGATAGCTTTATATTTTAAAAACAAACCAAACAAAAACCCTGTTCTCTATATCCCACCTCTACCTCCAGTTATTGCCTTATTTCTTTGTGTTCCTTTAGAGTAAACTCTTTAAAAGACTCATCTCCTTTCCTTTTCCTTCCTTTTCCCCATAAACCAATTTGAGTTAGATTTTCATCTCTGAAACTCCAGTGAAACTGAGCCATCAGGTTTTCACATTACCAACATCAAAGGTCATTTCTCCAGACTGAACTAACAGCAGTGTGATCATCCCCTCTTTCTTAAAATACTTTCTTGACTTCTTTGAAACCAGTGTCCTGGTTTTCTCCCACATGAGCAGACAAAATTATTAGTCTTCTCTTGTGTGCCAGAGAGTCTGACATAAATGCTATGAAAATCCAGAGCCTGCCACATCAATTGAGTTTTTGGATGTCTATTGGTCTGATGCATATAGAGATTACTATAAGGCAAAGGACAGGCTGTTGATGAAAAGACTCATCCTCTGGTGGCAGTGCCTGTGTAACTTCCACCCATCAGGGTGTCTTTAAAAGGAATGGGTCAAGTTCAACTTGCACTGTTAATAAACACTCACATAGAGCAAAGGCCATTAGACTGCAGAGTTCCAGCACAGCGGGAGCTTTTATGTAAAAGCAATAGACCTCTTAATATTCTGTTTTATAAATGAAGAGCTGACAGACCCTTAACTGTAATGGCACCAGCAGACCCAGCTATAATGACTGTACATGTGCATAACATAAATTAGGACTTTACAGATCAGTAAGGACTCTGGGAATCTTAATTCCTGAAAACCAGCACTAGGTGGAGACAGTGATTCATGCAATGCTTACCCCTTGAGAACTTATTTCTATTTAATATTTCCCATTCTTCTCTTTAGTGCAGAAAATGGTGCTGTTAAACAACTGATATTTTTAATAGAAACATCTTATAAAACAAAATATTTCATGTTTTAGAAGAACCTACTTGGTAGCCAAATAAGGTTCAAAAGCAAGTTTATTTAAAAGAATGTCTTTATAAACCCTGCTTTACTATTAAAGGTAATGTCCTATTTATAATACTTCATGAGTATCTACCCCCCTGGAAAGGAGTATAAAGTTAAAAACATCCTTCAAAATATATCTAAACCTAAAAGATAAAAAATTAAGATAATTCTTCAATATTTTGGCTGACAGATAGATACATTCTCCCTCAAAAACTAAGTCCAGAATTGCTCCTGTCAATTTCAGTCTGATTAATGGAGTCACGGATCCACTAGAGTGCTCTGATCAATTAATCTTATAAAGAAATGGATGGGAAACAAAACACTTTAGATCATGTTTTTTGGAGTCCAGTGCCTTTGATGGAACTTTTGGCAGACTGTGCGAAATTGTGCGAGACTGCATGCACTGTGACAGAAAAGTGTTATTTTGCAGTCTTAGAAATCAATAGTAAAAT